TTTCAAAAAGGCATGTATCTACACAATGAAATGTCTTAGATGCTTTTTATAACTTTGTGGTTCTTATTCCACTTTATCTTTGTATTCATTAAACTGTTTGCAGGTGGTGAAAGAATTGTCTGCCAACCTGCCCATAGAACTGATAGAAAAATTAATCGGTCCCAAGTCCGAAGTTGTTGCGCTCAGGCGGTCACCATTTCTCGATGTTCAGAAGGCTGTTATTTGCGTGTATCAGGCGTTGTTAAACTTGAAGAATGTATCGTTGTTACAGGAGGCGTATAGATACGTGTTGGGGGACTTAGAAGTTGCATATAAGTAAGTAGCATTATTTAATTCAAGCCGAATATTGGAAATTTTATTCTCGGATTAATAGAATTATTATTTGAGAACAGTTAGGTTTTTCCTTGGAGGAAACTTTGTGTAATCGAATAATTACTTCCCACGCCAACTGGGGAAGCATTTCTATATTGAAATATCATTTTTTTGGATGTTACCTGACGAAAAACCAAGACTTATATCCGTCGGTCTGTCTGTCCACTGATCCTTGGTCTTTTTATTCGTCGACTATGTGTTCCCTTCACTGTTGTTTAAAAAGAATTTCAGCAACAATCTCGCCGACTTACTCTAGACGATGAAGACATAGATCTTCGAAAGCTCGGGTTTAAGTTATAAGAGTGTGCTATTGCAATACTTTGCCTTCTACCCGAAGAAATTCAAGCATATATATATATATATATAAAATTACGATCAAAATTGAAGTCTGGACTGAATGCACAAAATATAGGATTTAATACAAACAGAAACATTTTTTTAAATCATGATTTGACCAAACGAAACTTGGAACTGTTCAAAGAGGCACAAAAATTTAAAAAGGACAACGATTATAAGTTTTTGTGGATAAGTAGTGGTAAGATTTTGCTGAGAAAATTATACTTCTTGAAGATGAACAAAACCTAAAAAACTAGTACATAGGAAGCTAAAAATTACCTACATGAATATTCAAAGTCTGCGCAATAAATTGGATGAAGTGCACTGTTATACAGTACAAAGTGAGTGTGATGTCTTACTACTAGTTGAAACTTGGCTAGTTGAAGGGGAAACATGATTATATGAGCTCAGTGGCTATAAATCTCTACATGCTTGTAGGGATAAAAGGGGAGGAGGAGCATCCATATACATTAAAGAGGGATTACAAACTGAAGAACTGGGTAGTCCTCACCAGATAACAATCTTAGCTGGATATGTGCAAATCTTGTCGATTATAATGTCAAACTAAGCTTGATCTATAAACCACCTTCGTATGATAATGAACTGTTCCTTGTTAGTTTGGAAAATATCTTGGCAGAGTACCCAAGTTGTCATGTTATTGTAGGCGACTTTAATATTAATTTACTAGGTATGCAAACCAACCTAGTTCAACATTACAAAGATCTGTCAGCCTATATAACTATAAAGTTTGCAATGATATTAGCGAACAATGTGCCACCAGAGTAACTGCTAACACAAAAAGTATTGTTGATCATGTTTTGGTAGAACAGGACTACAGCAAAAACTGTTCAGTAATGGTAGAGGAAAACTCGTTATCTGACCATGATAGGCTGTTGACTGCACTAAAAGAAGAAGTAAGGCTGTTGATTGCACTAAAAGAAGAAGTAAAACTATATAACAAAAAAACTGTTTGTGGGGTGAAACATACTGATTACAAAAAGATGGTCCAATTGTTTGGAGACCAAATTAATACAGTTAATATAGAGTGTTTTGAGCAACTTATCAATGTAAGTCAGAGTCTGAATATACGACATTAATTAAATGCCATAATCATAATACCTGGATTACAAAGGAATTATTAGAAATGATAACGTGTCGGGATAAACTTTATAAGAGAAAGAAGCTTAACCCCAAAGATGCAGTTACAGAATCTGAATTCAAAAAGATAAAAAATAAAATCAACAACAAAATAAAAGTCCTCAAAAATGATCACTTTAGAAAGAAATGGAACGAAGCTGGTAATAGTGCAAAAAAGCAGTGGAAACTAGTAAATAGCATGCTCAAAAAACAGATAATGAAACAAGTATTGAATCCCTTATAGTGAGCAACATTACCATTACGGATCCAGTCGCTATAGTAAATGAGCTGAACCAACATTTTGCAGAGGTTGGTAAAACATAGTTTCTAATATAGACATCTATCGACAAAGTATTGGTGCAAATTCTAAGTTTGATGAAATTCACTGTGGTAATAGCTGCTTCACTGAAAAAACAAACAGAGCAGAAATTTTGGACATACTTAGGGACCTCAAGAAAACATCTGTTCCTGGTCATGACCAGATCACTGTTAGAGATTTATTGAACCTGCAAGAACATCTTGTAGACGTGTTAATGAATTTGGTTAATAGTGTGCTTACTAGTGGTATTTTTCCAGATATTCTTAAAATAAGTAAAATCACTCCGATATTCAAATCAGGCAATAAAGCTTTGATGAACAATTACAGGCCAATCTCAGTGATACTATATGTGTACTTTCAAAAATAATAGAACTTATAATAAAAAACAGAATGTTAGCGTTTATAAATTAATACATCACCATGGACAAATTTCAGTATGGTCTTTTAAAAGGTAGTAACACATTGAGTGCAACCATGGATCTTGGATCTTGTAAATCAAATAGCAACGGCATTAGATAATAGGAAAATTATAATTGCAGTATTTGTAGACCTTAGCAAGGCATTTGATGTAGTAAGTTTTGATATTTTGCTACAAAAGCTTAGAGGTATGGGATTTAGAGGAGCATTATATAATTTATTGGAATCATATCTAGTCGATAGAAAGCAATATGTCAAAATAGGTAATAACAACAGTCAGTATCTGTCAAATCCTTATGGTGTACCCCAAGGGTCTGTCTTGGGACCTCTTTTATATTATCTTTATGTTTTAAGTTTGCGTTGTGCTAATCTTAATTGTGACTATTTCACCTTTGCAGATGATACTGTATTGTTATATTCAGGAGATAGTAAAGTAAGCTTGGAAACTGTGATAAATAATGATTTAGATGTGTACTATAAATGGCTGTTATATAACAAGTTGAAGATGAATGTAGATAAAACAAAGTTTATGCTGTTTAAGCAGAAAAATAAAAATATACTTGTACCAAAGATCAAAATTAATGATGTAAGTTTAGCACAGACTACCTGTATAAAATATTTAGGGTTAATGGTCGACGAGAATTTAAACTGGAATGAACATGTTCACAATCTAATAAAAAAAATCACCTCAATGATTGGTGCCCTATATAAAAATAGATAATTTTTTACAATTAAAGTTAAATATGATATTTACAATGCTTATTTTTTATCATGTCTTATGTACCTTCTTCCTGTATGGGGTACTTGTGGGAAGATAAATTATAATAAAGTACAAAGGGTTCAAAATCAGGCATTAAAGGTTTTATTCAATCTGGATTGGTTTACACATACACCTGAGCTGTACAAGGGATTGAATATCTTTAACTTAAATCAGCTTCTTGAGCTAGAACAATGTAAATTTATTCATAAAGTAATTACTAAAGCCCTAAAGTCCAATACTGAGATTCAATTTACAAATGACATACACAAATATAATACTAGAACACATATGTATATCTACATGTATAATGTTAGTACTGGCATAGGTTTGAATAATCCCATATCGCAAGCATCAAATGCATACAATAAATTGCCAAATAGCATAAAAAGCAGTAACAATAGCTTTGACTGTTTTGTAAAGAAATTAAAAGATCATATTCGCATCAAATAACACATTGTATTTGTAGTTAAATATTGTTGAATATTGTAATTAGTAATAAGCACATTTAGAATGTTGTTATTCTCGATGCCAGTGTTTTTGAAGCACTGTTTAGAGAATTGAATGTTATATTTTGTAATACTCTATTTTTGTAATATATTGTTTAATATATATATATATATATATATATATATATAAGGTTTTTGTATGAAACTAAATATTTTTCTGAACATGAGGGAACTTTGATGAAAAAACCTTTATTCCTTTACAGACAGTTGGTACCAGACGTGGCTACCTTCACGGCGAACAACCCTTTTCTCAACTGTGATCCTCCGCCACACCAGGACCAGAATCCTGTACACACAGTAGTTTTTTTGTTGCGCTGTCTGTCACAACTGGCTAACGCCAGCTCTATCATCGTCATGTGGGCTCTGAAACCCAGCATTCTAGAACTAGCCGGTGTTAGCATGCGACCCTATGACCCACGTTTGAAGTAAGCATTTTTTTTTTCTAAGGTCAATCAAAATTCTTATTTCTCTGGCTGCTAGAAGTCTAAGGTTACAAGTTTTTGAATAGTTTCCACTACAGTAATATTTTATATTTTCTACAGAGAGGAGCCACATGTGCAGTACTGTCTACTGTATCTGCTTTTTTCACACTGTAAATGCTACAACCACTTCATTTCGAACAGCAGTTTGGTGAACGTGAAGCAAGACGTGCCTAACATACTGAATAGGTAAGTGGCATGTCATGTCATCGTGCTTTATATTTGAGATTTTGAGGCTGGCTGCAGAGAGATCGAAATATTTTTACTCGAAAAAAATTGTTTTGGTCCGCTGACTGGCTGCAAACGTTTTTCGATTAGACTCTAGAGAATGCATTGAGAATAAGAGTCAGACTATTCTCTTTTGGAGGATATAGATTCGTCTCGATGGTTTTCATCAAAGTTTTTATAGATGAACGAAAGCAATGAAAGTGCTGCCGTATTCTTTTAGTGGTTAGTTTGAAAACCGTGTTGCTTAACAGATAGAATGTTGTGCTCATTCGAAAAAACATACATTCTATTATAAACTATTTTCTCAAATAGTTTTGAGAATGCAGATGGTAATGTTATGGGGTTATAATTTTCAAAGAGTTCTGTGCTTCCTTTTTTGTGAACAGGCAACACCACAACTAATTTCAACAAATCCGGAAAGGTACCAGTTGCCATTGATATGTTGAATGCATATGTGAGTGGATATATTAAATATTGAGAAATGAACTTTATTACTTTGATTGGCAATCCATCAGGTAAACATGCATTCTTATTTTTCAATTTAATTAGAGATAGCGTTATATTTTCTGGGGATATCTCAAAAAATGCCATCGAGTTGAATACTGTTTTGCCTTCAGTGTAGTTGGGTTCTTTAAATTTTGCGTATTCTGCGGTAATTCTCTTTTCAGCTATGGTTGCAAAGGATTCACAAAAGTATTTACAATTTTGGCTGCATCTGTCAGAATTCCATCGCTCGTGTTTATGTGCATTATTGTTTGTTTATTTTTTATTCTTCCTGTTTGGCTGTTTATAGATTTTTTTAGATTATTGCTGCCCTCCAAAATATTAAAATCAATCCAGTCATTTGTTTGATGCTACTTTAACAAAGTTCTAGTTAAAGGACGTGCCAAAAATTTAGTGCAGCTGACTCGAATGAGTAAGGATAAAATCATTTCCATACCCTTATTTTCAGGTTTTCCCTAATTGAAGGTTTGAACACCAACGATTTACCAAATACATCCCCGAACTCTGGCAACTTCGCTATTATTCTCGATACACTATACAACACCTTGAAAGCAGATACGTCGATCGAAGTTACCGTTCTTCTATTGCAATGGCTCAAAGACATATTGATAAATTCAGAAAACTATCTAGAAGCTCTGTATACCAACGAAAAATTCTCGAAACTGGCCGACGTTATAGTCGATTGCGGGTATAACTTCAATCCGAGGATTGTACTCAGCGTATGCGAGAATTTGGAAAAGCTGCTGTCTAACAAACAACTGTCCTGGAGCAGTACTTTTTTGACAAACGTGAGCGATCTATGCAAACTACACATGACGTCGACGAAAGAGGAGATCAGGAATTGCTATAGCAGATTGTTGGCCAACATACCTTGGGATATCACGATAGCTGAGCTGAACAAGGTTCGTAAATATTTTTAATTGTGCAAAATTTTGTATCGAACTGACAACCACGGTATTTTCGAACCAGTATGACGGCCATTTACACAACACCATGAGGTTTTATCGTTTTTACTAACTACAAACTAAGATTTGTACTATTTCAAGCATTTGCGAACGATATATAATGTGGCGGTAGGACAAGTGTTTTGGTATAAACAATTAGAAATTCTCAAAAACTACTTGACCAGTCGACTCCAATTTTGATGTGGTTACTTAGAAGTAAGAAGCCTTCGGATATGAGAGATTTTAAGTAGCTGCGTGAAATTATCGTTGCATTAGCAACAAGTGCAAAAATCTGCATTTGGCCTCGGTTTCCGGCCATAACTTTTTCACTATTAGTGGGATCTTTTTACGTATGGTCTCATTCTGTAGGTTTCATAAATACCTAAAAATCTTATTCGAAGAGTTTTTTCGTTTCTGGTAACACTTGCGATTGAATCCCAAAAAACACGTTTTCTCGTTCTTTTTTGTCGAATAAGAAGTTTTCCCCACAAAAATTGGTGTACCCGTCCAACCAGGGGTATTTTCGTCTAATTTGATTGACTATATGTGGATCTTGAGTAAATGAATTTTAGACCTGACACATTTTATAATATGGTTTACAGATTAGAAAGTGTTTAAGATCACTGCGGAATTTCTTTAAATTGTAAATGCTTTTGAAACAATTTTCGGAACAGACGCACCAAAATCGAATGCTGTATTTCAGCCTTCCAAATAAGGCAAAGTAACTGCTTAAGGCTGTGCTTTTACCTACATTGTTCTTATAATAAAGGAAATATTTGATAGTTGGGTAAGCAATTTATCTACATTAGTAAAATCTAATTTATGATTAATGGTCAGTCCCGAAAATTCTGTTTCGTGTGAAAAATCTAATTTTTGATCAGTGGTCAGTTCCAAAAATTTGATGATGTCTGTTATGTGTATTGATTATTTTGTTTTATAAAATCAAGCGAAATATAAATGTCATAAATTTTGTCTTATTAATTTTGAGAGTTGATTGACTATATATTTCTTGCCAAAGGTGTCATCAGCATGGACTATGAATTTACCATTTATGTTTAAATTTAATCAATGACTGATATGGACCAAAAATAGGATCGGGCCTAATACTGATCCTTGAGGTACCTCTGCGGTTATACAGGGTGGCCGATATGTAACTGACGTTTGAATATTTGTGAAATGACATAAAATACTTCGATTTTTTTCATCTCAATTTTTTACTGAAACTTGGAAATTATGTATGAAAAATGATATCAGACAAATGTCCGCCTCTAGAAGCCGCGCAAACCTGAGACCTCTTCATTACATTCTCCATCACTTTTTGGTAGGTTTCGGGAGGAATATTTTCAATCGCTTTCGTAATATTATTCTTCAGCTGCTCTACAATATTTGGTTTGGAATAAACCCTATTTTTCAAAAATCCCCATTACAAAAGTCAAGAGTCGTAGATCCGATGACCTTGGTGGCTAGTTGACATCACCAAATCGAGAAACTAAACGTCCCGGAAATATTGATCGCAAAAGATTCATGGTTTCACTAGCTGTGTGGCAAGTTGCTCCATCCTGCTGGAACCACATGTTTTGCAGGTTAAATTGTTGGATTTGAGGAGCCAGAAAGTTTGGCACCAATTCAGGGTAGCAGTCGCCAGTGACAGTAAGAGAATTACCTGCAGCGTCTTCAAAGAAGTAAGGTCCAATGACACCTACGTACCAAACACTGCACCAAACTGTGACTCGACGAGGATGTAGTGGTCGTTGATGGATGACACGAGGATTCTATAATGCCCAGATACGGCAATTCTGCTGATTAACAAATCCAAATCCGTTCATATGGAAGGGTTGACTGAATTTTGTATGGCCGCAAATACAAGTCTTTTTTTAAAATAGTGCAAAATGACGTGCGACGAATACCCAGTTCTTGAGAACAATGACTGGTAGACGTTTTAGGGTGCTCCACTACACATTCACGAACTCTCTAGATATTTTCCGGTGTACGAACAGTTCGAACACGGCTCAACCTTGGCGAGTCTTCAACTTCCCCTGTTTGTTCAAATTTCCGCAACAACTGATGAATGGAGGTGACACTGGGCACATTATTTCGACCGACATCTTGTCGTAGCTTCCGAATCGTTGCAACAATCGACTCATTATTTAAGTAAAACGTTTTAACAATAAGGACGCGTTGTGGGATCGTGTAGCGCTCCATGACGAATTGGACACATGTGCTTTAAACAACTACTACGGCGCCATCTACTGAAATGCGTATATCAAAAATGGTGCGCAATTTAAGTGAGTCAGTTATATATTGGCCACCCTGAATTTAATGTATTTTACAAGTTGAGATCGATTATTTAAATATGTTTTAAACCAATTGATTGAAGTTCTAGTACAACTATATTTGTTTGATTTTTTCAATAGTATATCATGATTTACACAGTCTGACCATAAGTTCAACCGTATTATTTCAGGTTAATACCGCACAGTCTCTCAAAGAAAAGTGCGCAACTGAAAAGAAGAATCTGAATTATGCGGTCTACTTGGGACAGCAGCTCCACTTGAATGGCTCTATAGAGAGTGAATTGTACCCATTGCAATTCAAACAGCTGACCAAATACCTTTTGAAGAACGAGCCGATGGACATCTCGCAAATGGAGGACATTTTTTCAAGTTGTTGGCTATCGGATTCCGATTCGTTGGTGTACTCGGTGCCTTATGATGAGCTAGCGAGCAATTCTAGTGTTGTATTGTACAGCTGGTTGACATTAGAGGCGGCCCAGTTTTGTGTTACCTATAAATTAAGGACGCCGCTGGGAAAGCCGAATGAGACTTTTACGAAAATAGAAGGTAAGATTTTGAATTACATTTTTGGCAGGCCCCCTTTTGACCTATTGTTACTGATTGCTGAAACGAATACATGCTTTTCTAGCCTGTTTCTCAACCATTTTGTAATTCAATGCCTATGTAAATACTTCCTGGAACTATAATTTAGAGGGTGTGGTGTAAAAAATTTATCATTTGTAGTCATTTGTTAAATCTTAATATACAGGGTTTGTTCGGAAAGTAATAGGACTGAGTCGATTTAAAAAAATTTATTAAGCCAATCGTTACAATTCTTTAAAAACTTTCAAAATAGGCTCCTTCTGCGTCGATGCAGCGCTGCCAGCGCGATTTCCAAGCATTGAAGGCGTCACGGAAGGCATTCTCCGGAATAGCGTTGAGAGCCGCGGTGCATGATGCTTGGATCCCCTCTGTCGTCTCAAAATGCTTGCCTTTCATCGGCCTTTTCAGGCGAGGAAACAAAAAAAAGTCCGGGGGCCACATCTGGGCTGTAGGGCGGCTGCGGAAGCGTTGGGAAGCCCTCCTTGGTCAGGTAGCTGTTCACAAGAAAGGCGGTGTGAGCCGGGGCGTTGTCGTGGTGCAACTTCGAGTCGGCTGTGATGTATTGTCGGACCCGACTGTCCCTTCGTTTGAGTCTCCTGAGCACTTCCACGTAAAACTTGGCGTTGACGGTTTGTCCAGGAGGAACAAATTCATGGTGGACGATGCCTTTGATGTCAAAAAAGACAATGAGCATCGTTTTCACTTTGGATTTGCTCATTCTTCCCTTTTTTGGGCGAGGAGACGCCGTCGTGTGCCACTCGGAAGATTGCCGCTTTGTCTCATCATACTCAAAGATCCACGACTCGTCACCTGTGATTACGTTATTCAAAAATTGGGGGTCACTTTCACACATGTTCAAATTTTCTTGGCACACTTCCACTCGCCGCAATTTCTGGTCGTCAGTAAGCACTTTTGGGACCATCTTCGCGCACCATGCTGTGTAACAATGTCATGAAGCACAGATTTTGGTAAATTTAACATCTGGGCAATTAAACAAATACATAGTCAACGGCCTGAGTTCAAAACTTTGCGCACATGAGTGTTTGTCGAAGTCGAAGGTCTTCCAGCACGGTCTTCATCAGCGACCTCTTCCCGGCCCTCCAAAAAGGCCTGGTGCCAACGAAACACACCACTTCTTGCTAAGGCAACACCTGGGTAAGCCTGCTTGATCATATCAAACGTCTCTGTCGCAGATTTACCGAGTTTCACACAGAATTTAATCTCGTACCTCTGCTCTAACGAACGCTGCATTTTCGGCTTGCACCACTCACAGAAACACGTCGCGCGAAAATGCCTGTCCTGACTCTCCAAGTGCTCCGGACTTCCGGATAAACCCTGTATTTCTTTATTATTTGTCTATGCTCAATAATTTTGCAGCTTAGTAACTTTTATGATATTTATCGTTCGACCTATACCGGCATATGGGTAGTCATATCGACCGATTCAGTATCGGCAAATTAGGCTAAGACTGCCGATACACATATCGATATCAATCAGTCACCAATACGTCAGAGTATTTACTTCTTTCAGGTGCCTTGAACCAATTGGGCAACGAACTAATCACCCTGAAAAAACATGGCGGAGATGGCGATGACAACCATCACGAAACAACCACCGTACGCGTTCGCCTATTGCTCTACTTTGTCGAGAACCTGGAGAAAGCCATTTACAATGCGTCTGAAGGTTGCGTGGCCGCGATGCCGTCCGCGCACAAGGCCGTCAAGTCGTTCTTCGTCGCCAACGCGAACACGTGTTGCGAATGGTTCGCCAGGATACGGTTGGTGGCCACCCATGTCGCCTTGCACAGCGGGGAACCTAGCGTCGCGCTCAGGCACGGCCAGGCTATGGTGAAGGACTTGGTTGCAACTGGTGAGTGCTTTTATTTTTTTAGCGTTTCAACAGATTACTTTCTTAGGACTCCATTGCCTAACCAAATCAAACCGCGTATATTTAGTAAACAACAACTCGGAAGAAAGAGAAAGAAGAAATTCCGTGGAGCCGACCTAAATAATTAGTCTACAGCACCAGCTGTCAACCAACTTTCTGGATCGACTGTTAGAGGCAAATTCAATCCTACCCACGCCACTGTTCCTTTGTTTTTTTTTCAAGCTACTTGATGCCCTATCTGACGACGTTCAAGTGAAACAAACTGGATTGGTAAGGTATCTTTAGTCGCAGCACGCCGTCTTGTGGTCACTTACCACAGTACCACCGGGCGAGAACAGTAACCTGTTTACGATTTTTCGGATGAGCGCATCTGTAACAGCGAGTATGTTTAGTGAAGAACAACGTTCTCTCAAGTTCTCTCAATATAGTATACAAACCGCATATATGTTTTAATTTCTCGACGTTTCAGCGACTGCGGTGCTATTTTTCAACTACAATAATAATCGCGAAAATATACTGTCATTAATTGTCAAAGTACTTGAAAAAGGCCACCGTGTTGGGCGAACCCTCGTGCGATAAAGATAAATCCCTACTGATATTATAAATGAGAAAGAGAAAGCATGGATATTTTACTCAATAACGCCAAAATGGCTGAACGGATCTGGATGAAATTTGCTACATAGATAGATTGTAGTCTGGAATAGCACATAAGCTGCCTTTTTTCACGGGAAACAATTCCGACATATCACGGAAGCGTTCAGTCGCTGGCCCGACCGAAATAAGTAAGGGTATATAGAACATTTCGACATTCTTTTTAGCGTGATAATCTTGATTTAGGTTTGTTTGTAGTTTTGTTTTACTTCAAGTATAATACTGTCAATAAATAGTTATTGTGTTATTTGTAATACAATCTTTAATGTTGCTAGTCGGTAAGGTTCATTTATCTGTTACCTAGCAAACTCTACTGATGCGTGGTCCAGTATTCTCTCTATATATTATATTATTATATCCAGTCTGTCAGCAGCACGGCCGAACCAAACCATTGACCTTGAGAATAAATTTTTTGTTACATCATCGCGTTTCTTTTGATTATGTTGGGTCAATGTCAAGAATGCTAATTATTGTGGGGAGAGAGAAGATTTTTCTGAACCTCCACTGTTATCTCCCGATATTGTTTTACTTCTCACATTACTGGCGGAGAAGCCTTGTAATAAGAAAAAATTGCTAAAATTCCGTTTTCTGTCGTGTCAGAGGTTCATGCTCGTTTTTGAAAAATTTTGAAAGGTAAAAAATTGGAGTGTGGGGAACTATAGGGTCTGGTGGAATTTTTTGGCGGTAAGTTCAACAAATTGGAGGATATAAATTGGACGCCGAGGTTAGAGAGGGGGGGGGGGGTATCTTACGAATGATAGATAAATATTTTCAATTCCCACGAAACTGAACGAACGTACATATACTTGCTTTGAGGGCTGTCCGATATCTCTGACCAATGGGAGTTTACAACGCCGTGCTGGGTTGTCACAGCAACGTTGTCAGATGGTGGGTAATGTATGGGCACTATGAACTATTTGTTCACTTTTGTCTCACTGTAGCTAACTTGTACTCAACCTTGTTATGCATTGATGACAGGGTTGTGTAGGTAGTGCAGAGTCAACCTACTTGATGCCATTTTTTTTTGTAATGTAGTTAGACTTATGCCTCGTTGAAACCATCAATACTACACCTCTGATAATGTAATTACAATCAAATATTTTACCTCGAGTTGCGTAAAATAAATTTTATGATATATGTACATATCCAAGTCGCCATGATAGATATTTTTTTGCAGGTAAAACAAATACCACCGAATTCGAGATACTCTGTATGATAGTGACATTAGCGTTACTATATTTGAAAGAACCCGAATCCCTGTATGGCTTCTACTCCTGGTGTAAGAATACAGTGGGGAAAAAGTATCATTGGATAAAGCATGCAGGAGAACAGGCTGCTAAAAAGTATGAATTGGCATTGGAAGGATACAAGAAAGTTTTACAAGATAAAGGTAAATAGGATAATGCTGATTGTTTTCCAAAATTTCTCGGGAATACGGGATCTGGCTTGTAATCTATATATACATCATTTAAACGAGTTTACGTCAGATGACAGATTCATCAGTATAGCTATTCCGTATTTACAGTTTTCCTTTTTTCCCTATTTCTGATTTGATTTTGGTCTTATAAAAGGACAAAGTGTTAGGGATCAAACTATTGCTTGCATCATTATTTATTATATATTATTATTCGTATCGAACTATTTGATTTTTTTACAGGCGCGTTGGACTCTAGTACGGACAAAAAACTAGAACCAGACATCCAAAACTTCATAATGGACCAGATAGTCGTCTGCTACAAGGAGCTGAGCAATTGGGTGGAGCTGTTCGATTGGCACGACAAGCAGCAGGGCGTAACAGAAAACGGAAAGAAGTACTGGTTCAACAAGACTGATTGGGAGTGCAACAAGATCCTTTTCGATATGGAGTCTGACAATTTGGCGTTCGAAGAACTATCTAGCTGGGACTATAAGGAGAATAAGTCTTGGAGTGTTTACGAGAATCTCAATACGACTGAGAGCAATTTGTACAACGTGGCGTTGAAGCTGACTATGAAGAAAGACCAGGATTTGGTGGTCAAGACTGAAGAAAATATTCTGAGTAAGTAGTAAAACATATTTGTCGAGGCAAGGTATTGTTGCTTTGACTGCATTCGTACCGCTTTAGCACCCTGAAAAAATCCTATTCACGTGTATTTTTTCTTCTAAAACTACCGCGAAGAAAGTAGAGTACTGAAAATTATCCAGTTGATCGGATTTTTGGAACGCTCAAGATTTGTAGACGTAGGAAAACATTCTCAGGTAGTGTATTTCACGATCTGGGCACTCCCCTTTCTCAAAACAATCGAGGTTTCTACTTGGTATTAACTTATTGTGAAAAAATACTCATCTATAATATATATATATATATATATATACAAGGTGTCCGCAAAGTTGGGGTTTTCCTTTTCAGAAACAACTACCCTTGAAATAACAAAGGTAATGTATAGTGAAACGAGGGCGACCAAGTAAAAAAAAATAAAGGAAAAAGTACTCACTCTCCAGTTGACGAGAAGGGCTAAGTACGTCTCTGCCCGAAATCATACCGCTCCAACAGAAAATGAAATCAGCTGATGCGCTACCGAGCAGACGCAGGCAAACAAGGAAGGCAAAATGTTGCGTAAAAAGTGTAGGTATTGCATCCCGTCCAATCGATTTGGGAGAATAAATGGTCCAATGAGCATACCGTTCACCATGCCAGCCCAAACATTCACCGAAAATGTTTGTTGAAAATGTGCCCGACGGACGGCGTGCGGATTTTCTACTGACCAAACATGAGTGTTGCGAAAGTTATTCACCCCATTACGCGTGAACGTAGATTCGTCTGTCACCAATATGCACTTTAAAAAGTCCGGATTATTGTCATGTTGATGCAACAACCACTCACAAAACCGCACTCTTGCTGGATGATCGTCAGGTTGAAGGGCTTGTACACGTTGGACGTGAAACGGATACAGCCCCTCTTCACGCAGCGCTTGCCACACTTTAGTTTTTGATACTTGCACTTCTCTACCCACGTCTCTAGTGCTTGTTGTTTTTTGAAACGCAATCGTTTATACGGGTTCGTTTACCTCTACACGCGTGACCGTAACCGTCGGTTGAGGGTTGCATACTGACCCCGACCCAGTTCTGTCGTCGGGTTGAGCTAGTGTCCTAGTACCACTTGGGGATGTCGCGGCTACAGGACGGTATTCAGATATTTTTGATGTTGCAGAGCCCTTTATCTCGGTTCCCTTAAGACATTGGTGTATATGGTACTAAGAAAAATTGCTTATGTTTTCAAGATCTACACGTCGTGTAAAGGAAACCCCCAACTTTGCGGACACCCTGTATATACAGGGTGACTTCGAAGTTGAGTCATTTATTTTAACAGTGAGTAGGTCTGATCAAAAGAAATGTTTTTTCCTTTACCATTTTTCTGGTAAAATTAAAGTAACAAAGTTATAGCCCTTTGGAAGTTTGAGTACCGCCCTGTTCAATAATACTCGTAATATCATGTGCTCGTGTTTGGCAACAACGGATATAATCCGCCTCGGTTCATCGCATTGGAAACAAAAAAGCGAAAGAATTTTGAACGATGTTTTACAATTATTTTCTTCAGTTCAGTTATACATACAGACTGTGTCAGTCGGTAAGGCGTGTGAATAGTGTCTGTTGCGTGGCTCAAACGAAATAAAAAATGGCACATGTTTATGCGGATCGGTTTCCCAATCGAGTGCAACCAACCCCTCGTGCCTTTATTAATGTAGTACAACGGGCTCGTGAATCAAGTGACTTAAGACCTCACAGGGGACCTCACGATCAAATACAGGTCCGCACTGAAATACTTGTCGGGAGGATACTTTATAAAACAAGGTAAAAATTTTTTTTTAATTTTTTTTTTATTTTTACACACATATTTTGGTTTATCTTCCTTCGACAATCATTATCTGAAAATTAATGACTCAACTTCAAAGTCACCCTGTATATATATATATCTATATATATACAAAGAGAAAATTATCATGCGGAGAAAGGTATATAACAAAAATAGGAAAATAATGGACAAAATCCGCAAAAAGTAGATTCGAGCAGAAAATAGGATAGGTAACCCGAGCGATACGTATTTCTGCTGGTTGGCTTCATCAGGCCCGAAATGAATGCACATATGCAACTACAAAAGTAGAGACACATGCCCATACATCCTTGTTTCCTCAGGTTACACCCGTATCCGGATGTATGGGCATGTGTCTCTACTTTTGTAGTTGCATATGTGCATTCATTTCGGGCCTGATGAAGCCAACCAGCAGAAATACGTATCGCTCGGGTTACCTATCCTATTTTCTGCTCGAATCCACTTTTTGCGGATTTTGTCTATATATATATATATATATATATATATATATATATATATATATATATATATATATATATATATCAAATTTCAACTTTTTAACATTAGATAGTCCGCTAAAATGCAGGTTCCATGAATTGGACAAGAATACTAAATAGATATAAGTACAACAGCCGTATTTGCAAGAATTTGCTATGTTTTTTGTTTCTTTTATGCGTCGTATGCGTTTGATTATAAGATATACATACATATATACATTATTATTTTTGCCCACGTCAATAAAACAGTTACAAAGACCTTATAAGAGTTGTTCTCGTTTTTTTACAACTTATTTATACAGGATTGTCAATATATAACGGACTGATTTAAATTGCGCGACATTTTTGATACACGCATTCCAGTAGGTGGCACCTGTTTAAAGTACACGTGTCCAATTCATCATGGAGCTCTACATGATCCCACAACTCCGTATTGTTAAAACGTTTTATTTAAATAATGAGTCGATTGTTGCAACGATTCGGAAGCTACCACAAAGTTTGGGTCGAAATAATGTGCCCAGTGTCATTCGTCAGTTTGTACGGAAATTTGAACAAACAGGTGAAGTTAAACACGTGCCAAGGTCGGGCCGTGTTCGAACTGTTCGTACTCCGGGAAATATCGAGAGAGTTCGTGAAAGTGTAGTGTAGCGCCCTGAGACGTCTACCAGACATGGTTCTCAAGAACAGGGTATTCGCCGCACGTCATTATGCACTATTTTAAAAAACGACTTGCATTTGTGGCCATACAAAATTCAATTAACCCAAGAACTACAGCTTTGTGACCATGAAAGTTGCCGACAATACAGTCATGCACTATTGCAGCTTAACACCCAAAATAACGATTTTTACCGACAACTGATAATGAGCAATGAAGCCCACTTCGATATGAACGGATTTGTTAATAACCAGAATTGTGGTATCTGTGTATTAGAGAACCCTCGTGTCATTTATCAACCACCACAACATCCTCGTCAAGTCACAGTTTGGTGCGGTGTTTGGTATGGAAGTGTCATTGGACTTCTTTGAAGACGCTGCAGGTAATTCTCTTATTGTCACCGGCGAGCGCTACCGTGATATCGTGCAAAACTTTCTCGCTCCTTAAATCCAACAAGTTAACAGGGCAGAACAGCAGATTTGGTAATGTCAACTGGCCACCAAAGTCACCGGATTTGACGGCTTCTGACTTTTTTATAAGAATTTTTGAAATGTAAGGTTTATGCCAACAAACCAAATACTGTACAGCTGAAGAATAATATTACGGAAGCGATTGAAAATATTCCTCCCGAAACCTACCTAAAAGTGTTTCGTAGGCTCTTGATCATTTTTGGAAAAAATCATGTCATTTATTTAAAATTCCACGCGTAACAGCTTAAACGACTCCATCGATTTTGACATTTGAGCTGTCCTTAGATTAGTCTTGACAGCACAATTAAAAATTCATTCTTTTTAGTTGGTGCAGTTGGAATTTTTGTATTTTTATTTCCCACATCTACTGTCGGAGAAGTATGACATGTACATCACGAGAAATTATGTCACTCATTTTCGTCGGTCTGTCCGGTACTCCTTGGCCCCTCTATAATTTGGAAAGTACTGCTCGGAGTTGGATGACATTTTTTGTAATCTTTGAAAACCGGTCCAGTGGTGACAGAGAAAAAGCCAAAAACGAAACGCTGCGGCGTCTGACGATATGGGAAGGGGCAACGTTGCCAGATGGACGGTAACTACATATAGACTAATTATATGGGCATGTTTGACTGACTTGATCCGTTTAATTCCTCTATTGTACATATTTGTAACTATTTTGTGAGAGGGTTGAACTTATGCTGAACTTATTCCATTATGGACTGATGATGGCAGAAGTGCAGAGTCAACCTGCTTGACGCCATGTTTTCGTGTATTGCAGGTATTCAGAGATCCATCCAGGAGTTTCTACCGCTGGCTCCTTCCGAATTCCTGCAGACCTACTCGCTACTGCATTACGTAGCGAATGGTTTGAAGCAAGTAGCGTACGACAGCGCTGCTCATACCGCTTTCCTGGTATCTGAAAGTTTCGAAAAGGAGATTCAAAAAGTCGACTCGTGTGTCCTCCGCAAGATCCTCTGGTGGTCGGAGCATTTCGGCAAAATCCAGAATCAGGGATTCAACGTGTTCTGTAGCAATCTAAGATTGGATGTTATCAAACGGGCCAGAAAAGAGAAGAACTACAAGTAAGTTTGACTATTTGGAATCGAAACTTTCCGCAGCGACGTTGACACGTTATGGTGATTTGGAACAATGGAGTGAAACCTCAGAAGAATTATCTATATCTTGGAAGCGTTCAGTCACTAGGCCAAGAACAAGAATTTCGACATTTCATATCCTACCTATCCTGCCATAATGTACTAAGTGACATATAAATCCGAACACCCAGTTTAAATGGTTTTATTTTAATAAAATTTTGTATAAGTACTTAATGAAGCATAAATAAGTAAATGATAAAAATTTCAAAATGATTGCACTGCTTTAAAGCCCTTTGACCTTCAATAATGTGTGGATGCACCCTGATGTGCTACGCATTCTCCAACGCGCCTAGGCATGCTTCTGATCAGGTGGTCAATGTCCTCCTGTGGTATCTCATTCCAGGCAACCACCAACTCCTGTCGAAGTGCTTCTAGAGTCTGAGGAGGACGTTGCAAATTGAGCAATCTCCTACCCATCATATCCCACACGTGCTCAATTGGGGATAAGTCGGGAGATCTTGGTGGCCATGGTATCAATGTGACATCATTATGTTGAAAGAAGTCTATTGTGACTCTTGCAACATGTGGTCGGGCATTATCTTGTTGGAAAGTTGGATCTGCCAGGGTGTCAAGATAGGGTAAAAGATGGGGTTCTAGAACTTCGTGGATATAACGCTGCGCGTTCATGTTACCTCTGATGAAGATTAAAGGTGACCTGGAACCATAAGCTATAGCACCCCAAACCATAACTTCAACAGTGTGATGAACATGTCTTTCAACAAAAAACTGTGGATTCCTCCTTTCACCACGTCGCCTTTTAACCCTGGCACGACCATCGTGCATGCCTAAACAAAATCGAGACTCGTCACTAAAGACAATACTGTTCCATTCCTGATCCCAGAGTGACCGTTGTCTGCACCACTCAAGGCGATTACGTCGGTGTACTCGAGTTAAAGAGAGGACCCAGTGTGGCCGGTATGAAAACAAGCCAAAACTTCTCATTCGTCGGTAAACACTTCGCATGCCAATAGGTCTTCCGTGTTCTGCAAACCATTCATTTGCAATGGACCTGGTAGTGGAGAAACGGTCCCTTAAGGCCAATAATCTTAGGCGGCGATCTTCACGGTCTGTTGTTCTACGGCGGCGTCCAGTGCCCCTTGCTCTTTGCGTACAGCCTTCTCGAAGCCATGCCTGACAACACCTAACCACAGTGTCTACACTTCTTTGCACTCTAACTGCAATTGCCCGAAAAGAAAGTCCAGCTTCCCGAAGTCCCACTATACGGCCCCTATCAAACTCACTAAGTTGACGAAATCGTACAGGTTTCCGTAAGGCATCGTAACCGATCGTAAAGGATGTCAAGAACGAAAATCCGCCAGCGTTGATTCTTTACTGCGGCTGAAATATTCATTTTTAGAGCGTTAGTGAATTAAAAAAAAGTAGTATAAAAACCGGATTGTCCAACTGATAAAATTTTTTCACTTGTTATTTACAGTAAGATAAATACATTCACCAACTTTTATTAAAATAAAACCATTTAAACTGGGTGTTCGGATTTATATGTCACTTAGTATATATTGGGGAGACAAAAATTTTAACTAAAGTGGAATAGTATAGATCGATCAAAATCAAAAAGGTTTGCTCGATGTTGAAATGGAATTTACAAGTCATGTGTAAGGTATTAGTGAAAGTATTTCTATTTGAAGGGTCCAGATGTGACATGTGTCAACTCCCCACCGAGACTGAGCCCATTTCCAATTTTCAGTGACTGTCGCATTGTTGTTGTTGATTATAGCTTATTGAAAGATATCAGTAGCTTTTACTTTTACGGAAACGGTGCTGGTGAGACGATTACACCAACGCCTTGTGCGACATATCAGTGATTTTTGTTTGTCTGTGGACGTGGCAACATGTAGTTTCAGCAGGAAGCACTGCTTACCTCACAGTGAACGTCATACTGCACATACGCATGAACCTACGAAGACGAGTTATCTCTAGCAAAACTGACTTTATATTATATATCGTATTGTAAACGCGAAAAATTTCGAAAGTCAGATATTGTTTTTTGGATGTTTTATGATCACGAAAAACCACTAATTTCCGTTTGTCTTGTCTGTCTGTCTGCTAATCCTTGGACCGCCTATAACTTGGATAGTACTGCTCAGATTTGGACGAAATTTTTACACAATCTTACTACTATGCCAAGGGCGAAAAAGCTAATTTTTGAAAATCGGACCAGGGGCAGCGGAGAAAAAGGCCAAAAATGAAAAAAGTAAAAATCGCTCAAACTTAAAAGCTAAAAATTTGATAATTCTATGCACCTATTAGACATATTTCACATATCAGATTTTCCCGTAACAAAAAAATTCTCCGCATCGGCCGCGTCTCCTTTTGCTCCCGGTGGCGTGCCGGTCTTGGTAAGTGATCTGGTGTCACTGCCGCTTCTGATTGGTGATGGGCTAGGTATCGGGGACAGGCGACGTTGCCAGATAGACTACCGGTAGAGCAGGGACAGAATGTCTACGGACTAAGCGTACGGTCGCGTTGACTGACTGACTGGCTGACCTCTCAGATTGTCTAGCTTGTGCTGAACATAATCTTTCATGAACTAAGCAGTAGAGTTATTACAAATCGCCGCTGTGATAAGCCGCAGCGGGCTGCTCACCCATGTCAGATTCCATACAGGGCAATTTATTTATAAATAGGAAGACAGTGTCCTTATTATCTCATTCATAACTTGTATTATCCCATTCCAACATAGACCTGACCTTATTAGAAAACTCCGAAGTAACTAAGTACCGCAATTACTTCTAGACTGGCTGCTAGTCACATCCTGAAATTCTTCAAAGACAAGGACCTAATCGTGACCGATCAATCAGACATAGATAGCGTGATCGAAGTATTTGTAAATAAAGTACAGGAAGTGAGCGTTTGGACAATGGACATCGCCAAAGCGGTAGCTGAAGTCATCAAGGTATCTTATGCCATCTCAGATCATGCTACTGAAAACACGTTCAATCTGTGCGCTGTAGCATCTACGTCTATCTCGAAGTATGCGGAGCTGTTTGGTGTCAAGGAACTGAGACAGGTGAGTTGAGAATTTTGCTGCAATATATAGATTATTTATGATGTTGCTACAGAAAATTAAGCTGTGGGTGCGAAACGTTATTTTGGTTGAATTGAAATTTCATTTTTGCTGATGTCTCTAGTTTTAAAGTTTTCCGTCGAAGTAATAAAATGTAAAAAGATGATAGCTCAACCACAAGTTGTTTGTTCAATAACTTAGCTGATTTAATCACTATGATGTAATATTTGAAACTATGCATTTGCGAGAATATTTTCGAAACAGTATTGTACTGGGCATCATAGTCGACATAAATAAACACTCTCAAAATCTAATTTATTACTCTACACTAATTTATAATGCTACTTGTAACTAATTTATGACACATTTATAAGCATGTCGATTTGACTATATTGACGCGTCGGTCGCTGCTCGGTCACTGACTCCTTTCGCTGTCGTCGCGCCCATATATTTTGAAATAGACCAATCCAGAAGCTCTAGAGAACATTCGTGTGATTTTCTCGAACGCTTCCGATGGCAACCGAGAACCCTCTAGATCGCTTAAGGAAAATCAACGCAATCACTCTCGATTCAGGCCTAAACAAGAGCAAGGGTCCTACGACAGAGGTATTACGTATCTTGAAAGGTGACATTATGTCATGCGCCTAGATGAGAGCCACTGCGAAAATATTTCGCGTGTGATGCGTCATTGCTAATTTGTGGCTTTGAAGGTGAATGAATATATTTATTTTTCAAAATAAAGCCTTAACGTTAATGATAACCTCTCTTCAGAAAGGACAACGCGTAAATAATTAACCCGTCTGGCACAGCTAATACAGCAGATATATTTCATCAATAATAGTTTTCTCACATAGCAAATATCACTGATTTTTTACATATGCGGACCAGTAGATACAGATGCGATCTTGTTACTCAACCAATGTTCTTTCTTTCATGTCTTCTCAGAGCTAGATACTCTACAGACTCTTTCGGCATTGTGCAACCAACAAAGCACGCATGTCGTTGAGTCATTCCTCCATAGGTAACGCTGAGGGCGATACAGCGAGCAATAGCGGCTAGTTGACATTTTGTCGTTTTTTACGTAATAACCCCTGCGGGCCACTCTGACAGACATTGACGAATAGAAAGGTTACCTTCCTTAAAAATTGAACACCCTGCATAGCGAAATAATCAGACATTTTTGATGCCGAAACGTATTGCAATTTGCTAGGTGAGTACGAAGATCCTCCTGAAATTAGCTAGCTGCCTGCAATCGAACGAGGACGCACCTCTAACAGACATCAATAGTCCTCTGGGCAAACTGATCCTGGTCCTTCCTGAGATCGGTATGGTAGAGAATATCGCTGCCAGCATGATACCCCAGAACGAGGTAGCCGTGGGCAAGCTGCTTCACTTCTGTGTCCACCATTGTGCTACCTTGGCCAAGAGCTGGAACGTTTTCGGGTCTTGGTGCTACAGGTGGGGCAAGAAGATCGTTGACCATAGCTCTGGTATTAAGAATAACCTCAGTGAAGAGCATTGTCAAGAAATCAAGCAGTTGTTGCCTGTTGATACGCCTGAAGAGGATGTCGCCAAGATATTCAGGTATGTAAGCTGAATTTGGGATACCGAGGAGACCTTCTTAAGTGAAGTACTTGAAAAATATGCTGAGCAGATTGCGTTTTAAAATAAAAAACAAGAAATTTAAGAGCAGTCAGCACATGTAAATATGGAAAAATGTGTGAAAACTGAAACTTACTTCCAGTCCGGTTTCATTTCCATAATAACATGTCCGTCTTTGATAGTTGTATAATGTTGCATAATGTTAAAGGTTAAATACAATTGTAGCCAAGTATGCTCCTGGCTTGGAAAATATTTTTATTTCTACTCTGCGATTCATAACTATGTTGTGACTCAAATACCTATTTTTAAAAATGGAAACACATTTAATTGCAGATTGGAATATGCCCTTTCAAACAAAGTAATATGATATAACATATTATAGAGTTCTATTTTTGACAAACTATCGAAAAAATACTCAACTTTGACAACTCGCATCAGCTATGTCTCGACTATCTTGACAATATTGCTTGTGATATGTAGACGCATATCTAGTCAGAGTTTCTCATCAGAAGGACTACAGAATCGGGCAAAAAATGACTGATGAAATTGTACGCATTGCGGCTGCTTACATTACATTAACTAGGATTCCACTAATTTGCAGCACTACATGAAAATAGATGGGAAATTTCAAAAAGTATCGCCGGTTAGAAAAATATTGCTCATTTAGAAGCGCCATTTGAAAATTATTTATGTAATTAGTTTCCCATTACATACAAAAAACATTACGTTATGTGACAGGTGGCATTATACAATGTGTTAGGGAAATAATATTCGTAACTTTAAAAGGTGATTCCTTGCATTATTCTAAGCAAAAAAGTTCATTATAACTTATTTCCGAGAATCAATCGTTTTCGAGGAACGTGAGTCGTAAATGAATAATTAAATTTTCTCAAACATTTGGCAACGCTGCAACGCAACGGCGATACGAGCGCACGACGACCATAACTGATTCATCGAATTGTTTACGTTTGTATGATATTTTTGTTGAAAATATGCCTTGAATTATTGAATACTTATACGCATTTTTTTGTGGCTAATATTTTTTATTTAATAACGCTTTCAGTACAGTACATGTACCTAAAAAAATGACAGAACTTACCGGTACGTGGCGATATACACCACCAATTCAAACGATTATCAGTCACTTATTTGAAACGATGCGATGCACGAAAAAAGAAAAAAAAACAACATCCGTAAATCACATAAAGTTACAGATAAATGTATTAGTAATCACAACACGCGATGATACATGCAGTGCAGGCGGAGTACGACGTTGCCAGTTGTGTGAGGGATTTTGTTTGTCTGTTTTTCTTTGGAAAATTGTATTCAATAAGCAAGACAAATATTTTGTTAGAGACAGTTAATTAATAAATAGATGTATTGATACATTTTACGCTATTAGGCATATGAATTTAAATTATTATGGTGCAAAATTTATTTATTTCATGACTAAAAAGAAATGGGTTCAGTATTTTTTTGCTCTGAAACTTTTGATTTTCGGACATCGGTTATAATGAACTTTTTTGCTTGAATAATGCAAGGAATCACCTCTTAAAGTTACGAATATTATTTCCCTAACACCTTGTATAATGCTACCTGTCACATAACGTAATTTTTTTTGTATGTAATGGGAAACTAATTACATAAATAATTTCCTAATGGCGCTTCTAAATGAGCAATATTTTTCTAACCGGCGATACTTTTTGACATTTCCCATCTATTTTCATGTAGTGCTGCAAATTATTGGAATCCTAGTTAATGTAATGTAAGCAGCCGCGATGCGTACAATTTCATCAGTCATTTTTTGCCCGATTCTGTAGTCCTTCTGATGAGAAATTCTGATTAGATATGCGTCTACATATCACAAGCAATATTGTCAAGATAGTCGAGACATAGCTGATGCGAGTTGTCAAAGTTGAGTGTTTTTTCGATAGTTTGTCAAAAATAGAACTCTATAATATATCATATTACTTTGTTTGAAAGGGCATATTCCAATCTGCAATTAAATGTGTTTCCATTTTTAAAAATAGGTGTTTGAGTCATAACATAGTTATGAATCGCAGAGTAGAAATAAAAATATTTTCCAAGCCAGGAGCATACTTGGCTACAATTGTATTTAACCTTTTTGAAATACCATGCGTAGGTACGGAGTTATTGATCAAGCCCACACTAAAAACTTACCCTGTATATTTTGGGCACATAAAAAGCTCGACATTTGTTTATTGACAATTTCTTTCTATTGTAGGATTTTGTCACAAACGCGATCCGTAATAGACGAAGAGGACATCGATCCGAACGAAATAAAGACCTCGGAAATGATTCTAAGCCAGCTGCAGTGCGTACAGGCACTTGGATCCGCCAGTGAGGAGCAGCTGCAGAGCCTGGTGCAGATCTGGAGGAACACCCAGAAACGTATCTACCATTACTACGCGCTTAGTGCCGATGCTTACTTCCGATACCTTCATTTGGTGCAGCAGCCAGAGAATGTGAGCAAAAGCAGCGAATTCAATACGGTCACTATTACGTTGAGGCTGTTACGGTTGATCGTCAAGTATGCTTTGGAATTGCAAACTATTTTGGAAGAGGGTAAGCCATCACTATGCATATGACCCGCAGGGGTATTACGTATCTTAAAATGTGACATTATGTCGATTATTTTTGACATTATATTGGTTTTTTGTGACATTATGTAGGTTTTTCTACAAGATATAAGATTATATTCACTGTACACTGTCGAATTGCAAGTCATATACGTGCTAACAGTGGTCACACACAACGCGGGCGCGCTGGTGATTTCCTGTAATTTTCCTCAAAGTTTTTGAAAACACAAAAAAAAAACGAAAAAATCGTAATTTATAACTTTGCCCATAACCTGTCTTCAGAAAGGACAACATATAAATAACCCGTCGGGCACATCTAATAAATTTACTTCATTGGCAGCATATTCAGTAATGATTTTCTCACGCAGCAAATATCACTGATTTTATACATATGCATGCATACACAAAAACATCCAGATGCGGTCTTGCTGTTCAACTAAGTTTCTTCTCAGAGATGAAAACTACAGACTACTCGGCTTCACAAAACATATGCAACCAACAATGCGTGTAGTTGAGCTATTCCTTTATTCCTTCATATATGGACGCTCACAGCGATCCTAGTGAGCAAACGTGGAATCACGAAACATGAATATTAAACAATATAATCCTTCGGACTTATGTTTACATGATCTTTTTCATATTTCTACCTGCTGAACCTGTCGGTGTATTTTCTAACACCCTCTATACATGGAGTCCCATTTTAGTCACGCAACTTGAATATTTCGAAAAAAGTTTTGAACGAAAGTTGTAGGGTTTTGAGGTTATCTTGACAATGACCTTGACTAGGACCTTCAAGGACAAGTGAATATTTTCATTTTCAAATCGGAGTGAAACGGGTAGCAAATTTTACGTTTGATCATCGCTCTGTGCATGAATGACCATTGCCTTCAAGGCCATTTCAAGGTCAAATCAAGAAGTATAAAACAATTTGCTCTAGCAAAAATGTTCAGCAGTATAGTTGTGAGGTTTGTGGGGGTCACCTAAAGGTGACTATGACCTTCAAGGTCAAGACAAACTTTCCAAAGGAAATCTGCGATTTTTATACTGGAAATGGAAAAATCAGAAGGTTTTGAGTTAAGGTCACATTCAGACGTAAGGTTTTCTGCTTTTTCCATTTCCAGCATAGAAATGAGAGGTTTCATTTGGGAAATTTGACTTGCCTTGATTCTGTTTAAGGTTATGTTTGGATGATCTCCACAAACCTCCCAACATTTTTACCACTGGCGGGGAAGTATTGTTATCGCGAAAATTTTCGAAAATGAGGTATTATGTTGTAGTATGCCAAGGACGCAAAAGCTTTGTACTGAAAATCAGTCCAGTGTGTAGAGAACAAGGCCTCAGACGGAGAAACTCAAAATTGCTCAAACTTCGTTTTGACTTTTCAGGTGGCCTTGATCATCATTGAAAGAAATTTTAGAGGTCAAAAACCTTGAGTTGAGAGTTGCGAGGAGGGGGGGAGGGTATATTTCAATTTTTTTATGACATATTTCACACATCATGAAAACTTTTAGCATAGTATTTACTACGTCCACGATACCACGTCTGCCCGAGGGTATTGGAGAGAGGCGACGTTTCCAGATGCATTACCGGTATGGCAGGGAAAGAATGTCTATGGACTTATTATATGCACTTGTTTGACAGGCTTATTTCTCAGAGAGTCTGGTTTGTGCCCAACATATTCCTTTATGTACTGCTAAGGGCATTGCGTGGGGAGTCAACCTACTTGACGCCATTTTTGCTAAAGCAAATTCTTTCCGATGGCCTGGTTTGACATTGAAATTGCCTTGAAGGCCAAGGTCATGACCAAAGTGATGTAAAATTTACCCCTCTATTCAATTCCTATTTACAAGTTCATCATCATTTTACCCTTTCGAAATCCTAAAACATTTGGTTGAAACTTTTCTAGAATGCGCAGTCTTCGAAATATTCAGGTGGGGAGATCAAAATGGGGCACAACTTAATTTTTACATTATTATTTTTCAGGGCTCCAAACGACCCCCACACAACCCTGGAAAGTAATTATCCCGCAACTATTCTCCCGCTTAAACCACCCCGAAAGCTACGTGCGCCTGCGCGTGTCCGACCTTCTATGCCGCGTGGCCGAAGACGCCCCTCACCTAATCACCTTCCCGGCAGTGGTGGGTGCCCTAGAAGGCGGCCTCAAGTTCGACTTTTCGGAGATCAAGCTGCCCAAAGACTGCTTATCGCAGGAAATCGACGAATCCAACGACGACATTGAGATGAACGACGAGGATGAGGATAATAATTATGACAGTGATGGAGAGGAGACGGTGAATACGATGCAGTCGTGTTTCAAGACCATGGTGGATACTTTGAGCAAGCAGGATCCAGAGACTATATCACAGGTACGCAATTGCAAGATGTCATTTACGGGAGCGCTCTATTAATTATTTTCATAAGCAGAACAAATTGACGTGTCCATCCCAGACAAGCATATCTCTGAGTTACTAACTTTACCGGAGAAGCGAAACGAAAATAAAAAAGGCGCCAAACTTAAATGGAGCTTTGGGCCCAGAGCGGATCAGTTTGATGTGTTAAATTTTATTGTAAATGGTCCAAAAAAAACTATTGCTCTAAGATAATTTATCTCGAAATATATAAAGTTCATGAAGCGATATTGATGAGTTTATTAATCGGCAGCTTTGATATGTGTTATTAAGTGTTTGATATCCGATGAATAAATACCTACTATATCATTGGATATTTTTATTATACTCTTATCATCTGTAGTAGTAAAAGTTGGCATGATAAAAATACTTCTTTACACAATTTCCAATCCTAAGAGCATTTGGAGCAAGTTTAATGATAATTGTGTATTTACTCTCTTCTACCCTCTTTTTATCCTGTTCCAAATTTTTTACATTTGGCAGTATTTCCAACACAATGAATGACTCCCAATATTTAAATCAGGGGACAGTAATCAAATAGCTGATTATAGAAGTGTTTGTAAACAGTCAGCCATTCCTAAAAATTTTGATCAGATATAATTTTTATAGTAAGGAATTGTTAGTGAATAACGTGGTTTCACTGTCGGTAAATCTACTGTTTGAGGAAACTCTGTTGAGTGCTAGGGCAGATTTATGTGATATTTACAGACTTTTCCAAGGCATTCGACGGGGCTAACCACATTATCTCGCTGACAAAAAAAATGAGCCTCTTTGGATTTTTTGACATTATGGTGGCTTGGTTTGCAAGTTTTCTTTCTGACACTTCAACAGGTGCGGATAGGCAGTGCCAGGTCTCACTATATCATTCCTTCCTTTGGTGTACCTCAAGCTGGTCATTGTTCTCCGTTACTATTTGATATTTTTATAAATGGCATCACAGTTTGTTTTGAAAGCAATAATTTTTTTTTCGCAGATGATTTAAAATTTTATCGCGAGGTTGGTTCTGAGCAGGATTTGACTTTGTTGCAAAATAACGACTTGAATAGACTAGGTGATTGGTGTGTTAATATAATGATTTATCATTAAATGTTGGTAAATGTAACCACATTCGTTTTCATTAAAAAACATAAGAGGTGGACACTTCTTACAATACAAAAAGCAATAATCTTGAATAGTGCAATATTGTATATTTTCTGATGAACAACAAGTTTCATTCGCAATGATTTATTGTTTGTTTAAAATATTAAATCGCCAGATTCTGAACTCCTTAACAAAATCTCATTCAATGTTCCCTTAACACTTTCGCTGCTAACTTCTATGCTGCAGAGTAACCCAGATGTTTTTTTATAAAATTTTAATTTTGTAGGTTTTATAATTGTCTAAGTAGTCAACTGAAGCCTATATATAGTGTTCACCGGTTTTTCATCAATGTCACGCATGCGTGTCGGTAGCACCTAGCCATGAATTTTTTGCTAGGTGCTGGCCGACACGCATGTGTGTCATTATATTTTTTTCAGGTTGGAAAGGTTTTATAAAGACAATTTTATTAAAACTCAGTGAAAAAATATTTTATTATAAAGCCAAATTTATAAAAAAAAACGGCCACGCAAGTGTGTCGTCAGCAGCTTTCAAAAAACCTAATGTCACGCAAGCGTAACATCAGAAGTGAAAGTGTTAATTTGAGACGAACACGAAGTGTCGTCCAGATTTAAAATCATTATTTGAGAATTAGCTTGAAATTTTTATTAGTTGTTAGCTAAAATTTTACTTATTTACGTTTTTTATTGGATAGGTATTATTATATTTCAATTTGATATTTATATTTTTTGTAATGTGGTCGAAATTAATAAATACACATCTGTTTTTCGCCTTCATCAGAATAAAGTTGTAAAATCAGCATGGACAATAAGCATTCTACTAGATAAATTTCAAGAAAGCCAGATAAAACTGTGTTTATAATGACATAGGAAACACCCTCAATTTAGAATGAAATTAAAATCAAACTTGAATTCAGCATATCAAAATCGATCTTAATATCCGCGTTCGGTTAAAAATTTGGCATCCATCTTTGAAAATTAGTTATTTCAAATACATACAGTTTTGCGATACAATTACATTCACTTCTTGAATATAGTATGATTGACCTCTAGACATAATGGGATTTCGCAGACTGTTTCCCTAGTCTTAATTTCGATCTATCATAAACACTCAATTTTGAATTACAAATGATTTCTTTATGGAAAAATTATATCACAGCACCTGTCAGAAGTTTTTTCGGGTTTACCCGCGGCCAAACTTGACAGCTGTTGTCACCAAAAATTACAATACCTTTGATAACAAGTAATTATGGTCTCCTAGGACACCAGATAATCTGTTACTCATGAAATAGTCTTGTCAAATACCATTCGGGCATCTAATTTTTTCTTGTGAGAAAAATCGAAAAAACAATGCAAAGTAATATTTTTTTAACAAGGAACATTCGTGCAGGTGCAAAAATCGTTGTCTTCGACTCGGATTTTTGTGGCCATCACTCATGCTTCTTGTTAAAATATTACTTAGCAACCTGTTTTTTCGATTTTTTGCGGAAAAATTAGATGCCCTTATGATATTACTTATGAAAATATCGTACATACCGCACGTTCATCATAATTGATCAGTTTTAATATTCGGGCACCAAAGTCACTCTAAAAACAAAAAGTCATAATTGTGACACACTGACATAGTAAAAGAAACAGAATAGGACAGAGGCCTTAATCTGGAAAAAAAAAGTTTGAACGAAAAATTAAAGTTTGTAATCTTCAGTAAAATATATTAATTGCATAACAAAATTGACGAAAAACATACGCTGAGACTTTATTTTTCTTTCAAGTTAGAAAACGGTAATATTCACCATTTTAACCAGTATTTTTTAGCTAGTATTTTCCTCGGAATGGGCACTCCATTTTCAAACGTTTTCGCCAAATTTTAAGTTTCCATCTTCTTAGATGGGCCCATCGAAATGATCCTATAGAGGCCGAGGAAGCGAAGATAGGAGAATCAAAACTGTTCCGCTGCGTTCCTTCATACTTCCGTCACGTTTGACGTGTGTAATGAATAATGAGGAAGTTTCCTATTTTTCAAAAGACACTCAAAATGATAGTCTTAGTAAAATGAAGTACAACGCTGAATTTTTTTTTTTGAATATCTTGAAAAATAACAAAGTTACGCTAGTCTGAAGTTTATTATTTGGAGAAATGTGTGGTGGGGTGTGCGAGTGAGTTATGACGTCACATGAAGGAAGCTTATCAGCAAAGCACCACTGCAAGGCGATGCACGCGCCGCGCCACACACGCTTCCCCCTATTATTAACAAACGCTGCTCTCCTCTGTATTTGCAATCTAAGGTAAAAATGAGTAAAAAGTGGGTCAAACCTTCAAACTAAAAATATTGTATTGTACCTAGGTGTACAAATACTAGCACATCAGCTCCAGATAAACATTTTTTATCTGTGCCAAAACAGGGAAGTATTAGAAAGAAGTGGTCCAAGGTAATGAATAGGAACGATAAATTGCCGCTGTCGGAAAAGTCAACGTTGTTTTGCTGTTAATCCCATTTTGATGTAATTAGCTATTTAGCTAATCCCTATGATATAAATGGTAGCAATAATAATGATTATTAGTATGTACGCCTCGCATGATAAGGTAAAGAATCTAAATGGTTTAAAGGAGAACAGAAATAGAATTGATTATTGCTTTCATTTTGAGATAATGTGAGTCTTTGTATAGTGATCATCTTGTGGCTGTAGGGGGATCACTGTTCAAACCTTGTTTGAACCGACGCGGCGATGCATATGCGTCGGTCGATTGTGGGCTTAATATACTAATGCCCGCTGACAAATAATCGTTTCGCATTACTGTTTGTATGTAAATATTGTACGAACCTTAACTACATTATGAAGGATTTAGGATCTGTATTCATAAGAAGATTAATCATAATTATTTGCTGCTATGAACATAATTTATCTCAGCAGTTATTTTTAGAGTATTTTATACCTTGTATGCAGAAGCTGATGTAGAAAGCTACTTACAGTATAAGCTAGTTGGCGGTAGAATGAAATTGAAGCCAGGAGTATTGCCTCATAAATTCGACTGCCAGAAAAAGTCCAAGCTTGTCAAGTCAAGATCTGTTATAGCAAAACGACATTATGATGAAATAATAAGAGATATCTAAATGAAACGGAGGTATCGGGAAAAGAGCTGATTCGTCCAGTAGGATTCGTTTCTTGCAATGATGACATCATTGCACCAGTAGGGACTGCTGAGGTAGAATTTGCGGATCCAATTAATTTAATGTGTAATGATGCTGAAACATCAAAAAGTACAAAAAAGAAGGGTATCCAGGTCAACATAAAAGCGATATGCCGTCATGTCGTCCGACCGCTTCACTACCGATGCGCGACGTTCCGTCATGTGACGTCACTACTGAACCTCGACGCGCGAGGCCGATCGGCTAGAGCAGCCAACACAGAAAATGACATAGCTTCCTTAAATTTAAAGTTATCGGAATAATTCTTTCAGATTTGTCAAAGATACTAGTTATACTATCAGATGCAAGTAACACAGGCAGTATTTTCGATTATAGGAAACTTCCTAATTGCACCGCGGTTTCCTTGGCATAGCTTTGCCTCAGTAGACATTCACGTTTACGTGTCGTAAATGGAATCTTTAACAGAACATAACAGTTATTACTGTTATTGTATATCATGAAGCCCTCAATTTGCCATATTTATGATGTACAGAATCATCAATAAGGCGTGGTAATTTTATAGATGCTGATATCTCATTAACAGTCCTTAACAGCCATTTTTTTGATATGACAAACATTTGTTTGGTTTGCAGGTACAAACACTGGTTAAAGAATTACGCCGGATCTCGCTGTTGTGGGACGAGCTGTGGCTAGGCACTCTGGCTCAATTGCAGTCTGAAGTTAGAAAACGTCAACAACAATTGGAGTACGAAATCGAGAAGGTGAACGAAAACGCGAATCTGAACAAGGACGAAAAAGCATCGTTGATTATCGAGAAGCATCGTATCGTCATCAAACCTA